AGCCCTGAATAAAAAGAGAATGTGTACCAAAAGCAGTTGGCTTTAGAATACATCTTTTATGTCTAAAAAAAAAAAAAAAAAAAAAAAAAAACCCTAAAATCCCTTCCATATACAAACACCAAGATAAAAACTGAATCATTCTAACAACCCCATATTATAAAAGATATTTCACTCATATGATAACTACATTTACATCTATATTAGTGGATTCAACTGGGTTTGTCAACCCAATGGGATAATAATAGTAATAATAGTAATAATAATAATAATAATAATAGCAGCAGCTAATTTATTAGCAAGCACTTAATGCGTGCCCATCACTATACTAAGCATTTCACATGTATGAGTTCATATAATTCTCACAACAGAGCTCCAGGATAGGTGCCCCTTTATTTCCATTAATTTAATTCCAAATGCTTACATATTCTAATTACTAACTAAGACCAAATTATTCTTGTTCAACAACTATATAAACAATTCACCAATATCCTTGCCCCTCAGCAATGTACGTAAAGGCAAAAGAACAGTCTATCGGTGTAGTCATACAAGTTCTAGAAATGCATCACTATTAATATGTTCGTTTTTTAATGCTGTTCAAACATTCACATGGAAACAGCTCTAGCGTAAATATCCCCGAACAAATGGCTGTATATTATCCAGGAGGGAGCAGTTGGACCGCCAGACTGGGGAAGTACTAGGCCATCTGGCTCCGGCAATCTCTCCAAAACCATCAGCTTTGTTTTCACCCCCAGACTCCAAACAACACATTTTCCACTGTGATGAGTTTACATTTTCCCAAACACAGGTCCTGATCATGCATAAAAATTCCAAACTTCTTTATTCTTCCATGTGCAAGGAAATTTAAATCACCTGCATTTTTTTACGTTTTACCACAAGAGAGAGAAAGCTGCTGAAATATGGCTCCTGACTATAATCTTGCCCTGTGCTTTTTGTTTGTTTCCCCAAATGTATGAAAGACCCTCTCTCCTGACCTAGTGAATTCCTTTGGAACTTATTGAATACTAAAAATGTGTTTATCTACCAATGAAGAACCACGAACTGAAAGGGTTGTTAATCAAATCTACGTAGCTGAGGCAGGATATAATGAAACAATCAATAAGGAAAAATGCACTTGCATCAATAACTTAAAGTACCAGGAACATCAAAACAGATATATCAAGATTAGTTGGGGAAAAAAGTATGACAGCATTTCTGATTATTGTTCCTTGCACCACCCACTGTGCTGGGACCTTTTAGGAGTTCCCTCACCACATCACCTACCTTCAACCATACATTCAAGGATTATGTGGCCATTATTTTCCCCTTTCCAAAAAAAAAAAAAAAAAAAAAACTTTTGTTTGGGTGCAGGGAGAGTTCTGTTTTTAAATTTGATAACTTTATGAACTTTGGTACTCTTTCTTTTAATTATTAAAATGTCACTTTTTTTAAAGCAAGATATCAGGAGGAAAGATAAGTTAAAGGCTTTTATAACTATTGACAGATAAATAACTCAGTGAAGCCATCACAGAACAGAATCCAATTTCAAATACTACAGGAAAACCTGAAAGGAAGCAGATTCAACCTCAGCCCGCCCCACCAGGTTCACTTGAGCTTCTGCATTAGATCCTGTTTCTGGATTGAACAGCCATAAAGTTCTGAATTCTACAGGCGTTTTTTGCAATGCTCACTAATGGAATACCAAAAACAGCAATGACACAAAAACAACCTATTTTTAGTCCAGCTAAACTTGGTTTTGAACAACCCTTCCCAAAAAGCAAGCCTCTTATTTTCTAGTTGGTGGGTGAATTTTTAAAATATCCTTATATCCTCTGTGTTTTGTACGAGAGGCAGAGGGATAGGGGGCTCCGGTCCTTACACATTCACTCCTAATGAAGCTTCGTCTTTCCGGGAGAGTCCCGAAAGTAAGTCATTACCCAAAAAGAGTGTCATGAGACCCTTTGAAAAGGTGTGAAATACTGTGTGTCATACCAACATATCTTGGTCAAGTACATTTCCGTTTGATCTCCATGATTCTAACTCCACCCAAGATCAGGGACATTCTATAAAAATGTAGAGTTCACTGCTAGTTTTGGATTCTGCTTGCCAAAGATTCCCTTTGAATTTTAACCCCATCTTGTGAGGCAAAGATATGACATCGCACATACAATGCTATATCTCAGATCTGAAAAAATAAACCGGCAGCTAAGGGGAGACTTGAACTTGGCTACATATGCTCTCTGAAACGTATGATGCTATTAGAACTCATCACAGCACTGACAAATATTCCAGTCTGCATTCTAAGTATCAAAATCCTGAGTCTATCTAGAAGAATTTAAGGGGGAGCTGAACTGGGGGTTAACCATTTATTTAGTCAGCTTTAGCTTTACTTCTGATTGAATGGGTTACTACATATTTTACTAAAATAAAAAATTTAAGCATTTTTTTATCAGACTTGGTAATTAATTATCATAGAATAATTCAAGCTAAATGAGACCCCCTGTTATACTCATCAAGGCTAAAATATAATAATTATGTCACAGCTAAGGAAAGTTATGCTTCTTCAAACTGATTTGCTTTTTAAAGACTATTGTGTTAATTGCCTACCCAAGAAGCTAACCTATTTCCCAAACTCTTACAGCACATAATCAACGAACATGCAGCCGGAGAATGGGCAAGGATTGCCTTTCAAAGTGAAAGCTACATAGAAGGCACTAGGAAATTACTATGAAAGCAAACAGGTATGACTCAAAGGAAAAAAAAAATCTCTTTTTCTTGATATTTTTAGACTAAATTCAGAGATTTAAACCTTTTCTCAGGTCACTCCTCACCAAAATATAGAATTGTATACATTTGTAATTTTAACTTCCAGTGAAATGTCATGTTATGGCAAATGACTTTCTCATACCTGCTATTATTAAAAATAAACTGTATCTTGTTCTAGTCCACACACACACACAACTGGTAGAATTTATGATAACCAAGAGGTCAAAGGATGCCTTAAGCTATAGTTTTTCTTAAGCTCTGTGACCTTGTTACTAAAATGATATTCGATGCATTGCTTTATAAAAATCATGAAATTGCTTTATAAAAATATAAAAGAGTATTCTCCCATCATATGAAAGTGTATAAAGTCAGTTCATTTCATAATGGGAAAATTGATTTTTGGTGGCACTTTTTGTGTAAGGGGTCTAATATAAAGTTTTGAGAGAAGTTAATCACTTCAAACATATCCTAATTTTGTGCTCCCTACAACTGTTGCTTTCATAGTGCTGCATATAATTTAATATTTAAGCTGTCAATGTTGCACGAGCAGACAGGCCTTATATACTAATATGTGGAGATTTTTTATCTTTCAAAAAGTAAATTCTAACGAATACATATGGAATGCACATTAGAGTTCATATTTTCCCCACCCCTTCCCATCTTTTCTTTCCTGGGATGAGAATGGCAGGAAAGAATAATCAAGGTATCAAAGACAATATTTTAAAAAAATCACTTAAGACATTTTTATTTTGATATCATGATAAAAAATAACTGTGATTGAAATTAGGCTTTTGTGTTTCTTAGCAGGGAAAAATTAACAAAATATAATATATCCAATTAAAAGGGAATTCTCCTATATAATAATAAAAACCATTAAAAAAAAAAAAAGACCAAGACTAAAAGTATAAATATGGATTTACCCTGAACAATCAACCAAGAAATGACTAGATCTTTAAGAAAGTCCAGTTTTTTGCAAATACTTGAAATAGGTTTCAATAGATATTTGTTATCTTAAAAATATTTCATACCCTCCTTTTCTACTTGGTTCAAAATGAAATATGAGGTAATAATCAAAATTAGCTGTTATTAAATTTATTCTTGCAGATAGAGTTTAAAACTTACAACAGCTTAATGGTGTGCATTTTGTACAACATATTTAAGCCATGCTTATTTAAAAACAAATTTTAAATATGTATATATACACCTTAATTTGAAACCTTCCAAACCAATATCAATGAAAGAAGATCACCTCCCTTATTTCAAAGGAAATCTTTTTAAATCACAATCAAGCAAGTAAGTTTTAACCCTCCTACTTAATTGGTAGTTGGTACACAATGGATAACTTTTCTCTTTATTCTGATTTCTTTCCCTCACCCAATAAACCTGTCTTTTTTTTTTTTCTGTGACTAAGTTCTTCAACTACCTAACCAGCTACTACTTAATTCTGAAACTAAACTTTTTCTTAAAATTTAAACGAATAGGGGGGAGGGGGAGCTCCTGTGCCTCATTAAAACGTCAGGCCTCTTTTCTGACTGGGCTCATAATTGTATCTTTTAAACCATTACTCAACCTTAATGTATACCGCTTGACTCCATGCCTGTTGGGAAGCTTAAGAAAATGCCGTCCATGTACCTTTAAGACCACAAGCTCACTCATGCTGCCTGGCTTCTTGCCAAACTTAGAAGCAAAAAGCAGGAGGATTTTAGCAAAATATCCTCTAACAATTGTCGCTCTCTCTTCCAGCACACCACCACCACCATGACCACCTCCTTTTAAAAAACCTGTGATATGGATCATCTGTGTTCTCAGCCCTCCTCAACGCTCCTGGAGAAGCTGCCTTTGCCCCCAGCCGCTCCCTCTACCCCAGGCCCAATTGGTGTGGGTTTTACACATCTGGCCCACTCCTCACCAATTCCCTGGGACACCTTGCGCGCCCCCTGGGGCACCCAGCGGGGTCAAGCAAAGTTGAGCCATATTCTCCCTACTCAGCAGCCCCTGGTCCTAAGCTCTGAGTTGCCTTTAGGAACCTTCGAGCCACCTTCCCCACGCGGCGGCGGGCACAAGTGCCAGAATGCACCGGCACTAGGAAGGCAGCGCTGAGAGCCGCGTCTGTGGCCGGCCCTGACGCTGAGAGTTCGAGTCCCAGCCCTCCGGCTTGGGAGCAGCCAGCTTCTGGACTCCCCTATATGTTGCTGCCCTGCAGTCGTACCCCTGCGGCGCGAAATGCAGAAACTTACTTGTTTTGTCATGGAGTCAATGAGGCGCACGTAGAAATCCTGCTCCGTCCTTATCCCTGGGGGAGCGAGGGAGGGGAACAAGGAGACTTAAGTGAGAGGGGATCTCCGCAAAAACCAACAAACACACCAACAAGCACACAAAGCATGGGACGCCGAGGCCAGGACCCCGTTCCCCAGGATGCAGAGAGGGGCCTCGGGCCTAGCCCTAGCTAGCCAGCCCCCCGCAGCCCGCAGCGGGCAACGGGGCCGGGCCCCACCTGGCCATTCCGCCTTCCCAGGGAGCCCTCTGCGCCCTCCTGCCCCAGGGGGCCAGCCAGAGGCTTGGGGCCTGGCATCTGGGCTGAGCGGAAGGCACCGGCCTTATGAGAGGGGAGGGAGGGGAAAACGGCCCATCGAGGGCCGAGGAGCCACACCTGGCCCCAGGTAAGCTCAAGCCCCGGCTGCCTGTCCACGGGCCACTCAGGGCTTCTCAGGTGCAGCCTCTTCGGGCGAAACGCAGGTGAATGAGCACGAGTCCCGCCAGCGCTCTGCAGCTCCCTGAGCCCTGCAGCTCCCCGCGCCCTCCACCCGCGCCCCAGCCCCAGGTGCGGAGCCTCACCATTGCTGTAAAGGAGCTGCAGCCGGTAGTGGATCCCGTTGTTGGTCTTTTCGCTGTTGGCTTCCTGGGTCGCATCAGGACGCACAGACACAAGAGACGCAGGAGAGAGGTCGGCGTGAGCTCGTGGCCTGACTTCGAGGCCACTCTCCCCTCCGGGCCCCCTGACCGGCGGGGAGTCCGGACAGGCCAGGAACAGCACACATTACGGCCAACTGGGGGGGCCCTCTGCCGGAGCCCCTCCACAACCCGACCCTGACTGCTCCCTCTTCCCTACCAGAAAATTCCGTGGGGGCACGCACAGGCGATCCCCATCCCCTGGGGCTCGGGCCTGGGCCAGCGGAGGCAGGAGCCGCGCCGGGTGGCGGAGGGGGTGGAGGGCGCGTTCCTCCCGGGGCGCCCCGGAGGGTGAAGTCGGGCTCGCCTCTCTCCGACTCTGGGGGGCTACGCGCACACTCTTTTGTTTTATTTTATTATTTATTTTTTGGAGCAGAACCTCCCGGACCAGGAGCCGGGGTTCGCCCAGGACGGGAAGACCCTGCGCACGGTGTCAGGAGCGCTTTGCACGGGCGGCTGCTGGAGGAGCGCGCCCCCGGGCGCCTGGGCCTGCTCCCCCGCCGGGCGAGGCGCGGGGCGCGGGGCGCGGCGCCCACTTACTTTCTCCTTTTCCACGAAGCCCACGAAGGCGGTCCTCTCGATCTCCACGGGCTGGCCCTGCCGGTCGTAGAGGGCCAGGACGAAGTGGAAGAAGTTGGACTTCCGCAGGTTGGAGGGCGGCTGCTTCTCGAAGTGAGCCCGGGCCAGACCCACCCCGCTGCGGCCAAAGAGGCAGAGTTAGACGGCTACACGGGACACCCACCCGCGACCCTTGGTCGCCCCCCAAAAACGCCCGTGGGGGGCGCCCTCCACGCAGCCGCCCCGTTCCCACCCGACGGCGGGATCGGCGTGTTCTCGCGCGTCCTGGCCTCCACGCGGAGCACGGGGCGCCCCCTCCCCTCCCCAACTCGCAGGAGCGCCGCGAAAGTTTGGTTTGCGTTTTGCGCAGCAGGGAAGGCACGGGCTCCGGCCCGGCGCGCGGCGTGGGGAGCCAGGAGCGTGGCCGTGGAGGAGGCGAACCCGCGTCCGCGGAACGGAGCAGCTCACTGACAGCTCAGCGGGAGGGGGCATGGGGATTGGTCCCGCCGCCCCCTCGAGTCTCTCTCGTCTCTGCTCCGTGGGCTGGTGAGGAGGGATGGGGAGCAGACTCAGCTGCTCGCTGCGGAAACCATCCTCCGGGAAACCTGCAGGCGCCCGGCCTCTGGAAGCCATAGGCCCCCCACCCGCCCCATAAAGCGCGGAGGAAAGGGGTCTAAGGGTGGAACGCAGAGCTGTCAGGGGTGGTCACTGTGGAAAGGGGAGCTGGGGTGTTTTGTGTTTGGTGTTGTTGTTTTTAAATAAAAAAGACCTGTCCTGACAAACTTTCCCGTTCCGCAGAAATCCTCACACTCTTTGCAGAAACCCTAAGGACCAGGGCTCACGGCTGAGAGCGCCCACCCTGGGGCTAGAGGCTGGGGCGCCCGGGGAGCGGGGCGGCGGCCACTGACAGCTCGACCTGCCCCACACCAACGCGCTCCCACACACACACACAAACACACACGTGTCACAAACACACACTTTCACTTCAAGCCCAGTTATCCAACTCACTCTCACTGCCTACCACCCCCATCTTTGTACACAGTGGGGATGGAAACAGTGTTAACGACACTTGTCCGCAGCCCAGAGAAAATAAGGATGATGTAATTAGTCATCTTCCTTCTTCCCCTTCCGCCCTCGCTGGGTCCGATAAGGCCTGGGGCCGCCAGGTCTCCCACTCCCTGAAGCCCAGCTGGCGGTGGCCTGGAGGGGTGGGGGGCAATGGCCATTTCTCACTTGGGACCAGGAGTCCCCAGAAAGAGTGCCGAGGGCGCCCAGGGAAGTTCCCCCCGTCAACCTCCAAGGGCAGTGCCCGAAGGCAACACAACCCAGCATCCCTGAGGCCAAGAGTGGGACAGGGGCTGTAGGGGCCATGGAGACAGACAGGGTGGGGAACACTTCTAGGAGACGTCAGAATTAAAGTTGGGAGTTGCTGTTCTCCCGAGTGGACTGAGAAACACTGATAGGGGGAATAAGAGAAGATTCTGGGGCAAAATGAACACAGAAAAGAAGAGAAAGAAAGAGGGTGAGGGATGAAGAATGAGGGGGAGGAGTGAAGAAAGAAGAGGAAAGAGAGGAAGGAAGAGAAGGAAGAAGGGAAAAGAAAAGGAAGTAAAAAAGGAGGGAGAAAGGAAAGAAAGGAGAAAAGAAGGAAGGAAAAGGGAAGAAGAGAGGGAGGGAAGAAAGGAATGAAGGGAAAGAGAAGGAAAGTTTTAAAATGAGGGAAGACAAAAAGGCAGAAGAAAAGGAAGGAATGAGAAAGAAATGAAAGGAAAGAAGGAAGAAAAGGAAGGAAAGAAGGAAGGAAGGAAGGAAGGAAGGAAGGAAGAAAGAAAGAAAGAAAGAAAGAAAGAAAGAAAGAAAGAAAGAAAGAAAGAAAGAAAGAAAGAAAGAAAATAAAGAAAATAAAGAAAAGGAAGAGAAAAGAAAGCAGTCATAAAAACACAGATATCCAACATCAGGCTGCTGAGACTCTCGCCTCTTCTGGCTTAAAACAAAATGAAAACAGCCGCAGACTCGGCAGGGGAAAGTGCCGGCAAAGCGTGGGCTCCTCGCGGGAGCTCCCGGCCCTCCGGCCTCAGGCGACTCAGGCAGCGCGGCCCCGGAGCGCGGAGCCCGGAGGCGAGCGGAGCGGCGGCCGCACGGCTGCGGCCAGGCCCCGGGCGGCCGCCGCCGCCACCGCCTCCGGCTCCCCGCTCCCGGCTCGCCGCCCCGGCCGCGTCCCCGAGCGGTACCCACCTCTGCGCCGCCGTGTTGGCGTCCAGCACCCCGGCGCCCTGCATCCACGTCCGCACCGCGTTCATGCCGCTGCCCAGCGGCTCTTCCTTCATGCTGCTTCCACTCCGTTGGATGCTTTCCTGAATCCCAAACATGAAAACAACCTTTTCTTGTGGAAAATCTCCTCCCCCTTGAAAATATTAAAAAAAAAAAAAAAAAAAAAAAAAAAAAAGGAAAGAAAAAAACGCCAGCCAGAGATTTTTTTTTTTTAAACACGGTGAACTCGCGTTGGAAGATCAAGGCGGGCTAGAAAGCAAATTTTTAAAAAATGTAAACCGTCGCTCAAAACTAAGCGATAACCCGGAGGAAAAAAAAAAGGCAGAAAAAAAGAAGGGAAAATCCAACGAAAAGACCAAAAAAAAAAAAAAAGAGATGTATGCTTGGCTGTTGGGGGTTGTTTGGTTGGTTAATTTTTGGTTTGGGTGCTTTTTTTTTTTTTTTTTTGCTTTTTTTTTTTTTTTTGCTTTTTTTTTTTTTTTTGTAATGATCACAGGCCGGTGGAGGGCAGGAGGGGCTGGAGTTTCCTTTTGCAGAGGTACCCTTCACTTGAAGAAGCAGGAAGAAAAAAAAAAGCCCTGATGGCAATTTAAGAAACAATAGACTCAACTCGCGCTGCCGGCTTTGCTACTTCAAGTGTCATTTTCCACAACCAGGCAAGTTTTTTTCCTCTTTCTTTTTTTTTCCTTCTCTCCCAACCAAAGATGTTTCTTTCCTTCAGTGCGTATAGATGAGGAGGACGCTGGTTGCCGTAGACAGATACACCAGAGAGGGAGATTGGGATGGGGGGAAAGGGGGGAGAAAGAGGGAGAGAGGAAGGGGGGGAGGGAGAGAGAGAGAGAAGGAGAGGAGAGGGAGAAAGAGAGAGGGGTGGACCCTGCTGGATGGAGATTCTGTTTTCTCCTCGCTAAAATAGAAGTGATTTGCAGGCTTTCCCTATGGAATCCAGTTTGACTCTCCCCAGAGCTAAACACAGGCACACTAACCCCAAAGGGAGGAGGCGGGGCCCGCGCCTCCCAGGCCCGCCCCTTCATTTGCATAACGTCATTCTTCCGCCTCGCCGCAGCCAATCGCGGCTTGGAAGCCTGCTGGCTCGCAGTGCGGGACCACGCCCCTTCATTAACATCCCTCTCCCGGCGGCTCCCGGGAGCCGGCCAAAGTTCCTCGCAAAGTGGCGGGCGAAGGACCGCCGAGCTCGAGCGTCTGAGCTGCAAGGAGCGGGGCTGAGCAGGGCAGAGCCTGGCCAGAGGATGGGGACGGAAGGAACGGGTGGGGACCTTCTTTTTCTCGGGGATTTGAGCTGGGATCTGCATCCTGTTCGTGGCGGTTTAGCATCCTCGCCGCGCCCTGAGCGCGCTTGGAGGAGCACAGGCTGCGCCCTCCCGGGGCCGTTGCCCGCGTCCTGCTCCGCTGCTCTGGGACGTCGGGGGCCAAAGTGGAGGAGACGGGAGATCCCGGGCAGAAAAAAAAAAAAAAAAAAAAACAGGACGCCCGTCCCAGGTGCCCACCTCTTCGCTTTGAGGAGGGGGTGGTAGGGTGGGAAAAGGGTGCTGGATGGAGGTCGGGGCCGGTGGCTCGCGGAGCGTACTGCCTTCACGCTGGGAGGGGTGGGGCTGGGGGGCGGGCTCTGCCCCTAGTCTGGCCTCTGCAAACACTTCTCACTTGGCCGCTAGCCTGGAGGCCGCAGGCTGTGGAGGTCCTGTCCTCAGATGCTCACCTCCCTCTAGTGATCTGCGGATACGTAAACGGTGGAATGAATGCTCTTACTGAAGCTGTGTCAGGATGTGTTTTTAAATTGACTCATTTTTGATCCCAGCCCCTCACCCCCGCCCCCAAAGTAGTTTTCCTTTAGAGTAACTACCAAAGCAACAACAAGGCCCCTGAGTAGTCTGTTTATTTGGTGCAGGGTTTCTCTCATCCTCATCTTTTTTGTTCAATTGGGGGCGGGCTTGCACAAACCCTCCCCAAATTCTGCCCCTGGCATATGTCAAGAGAGATTGAAGGAAAGCAGGAAAGAAAGAAGGAAAGATCTCCTGCCTCAGGCCTCTGGCATGCATGCTTGAGGCTGGCAAAGGAAATAGGTAGATGTTTCTGGGTAATGTGCCCCATCATTTTTTAGCAGGTTGTAACCTCTAATAAGCACATGATGAACTTCTGTTTCATTGCCCTCAAAGGAACTCCCTGGCTGCAGCCAAATCTGCTAAGGACTCCTTCGGGGGAAATCTTTGCCAGAAATCCAGGTCCCCTTTCTGCTGGCCTTGCTTGGCCCTTTGATTCAGAAAGCTCCTGGGGTCAGTGATGGAAAAGTACACATGCCCATGCAGAATGGAATGGAGACAGGCGAGAGTTATGCTTTGTACTCTTGGCAACGCAGGGAAGCGGGAGCCACTTCCTGATTCCCAAACTAGATGAAAGCCTGTGTTCCAGGCCTGTCAGCCCATGGCCACTGTCCTCAAAACACTGCTTTATCTCCTGCACAAAGCCTCCCAGCCCTCAGACCATCTCATCAGGACCACTAGCACACTCATCACTTTCTCCCTGGCACCATAATTCACACCATCTCTTCCAGGACACTTCTGAAGAGCTCTGTCTGATCCATCAGGATTCCCACAGCATCTACCAGAGTTCCTGGCACACAGTGGGTGCGCAAGAGGGACATGTTGGTGCAGAGAATTGAAGGATTATAGGTTTGTGGGGAGGAAAGATGGAGGGAGTTGGACCTTCTCCATCTCTTTAGAATTTAAATACGCAGTTGAAACTGGGCCTGCTGAAAACTTCCCAAAGTTCCGAGCTTAATCTCAAGGCCCAAAGGGTCCTCAAGAGCCAACCTCTCCCCCTGCCTGCTCTGAGGAGATCCTTGAAGGGAGAGGGACCAGGAAGCAGAGGCCACAGCCCTATCACTGAGTCCCAGATACCCCTGGCATACGACCCAGGCCTCCCTCTTTGTAATTACCCCAGCCTCCATTTTACTCTGCAGTAAATAGTATTCAGGACTCCAAGTTGAGTTTGGTGAGGGATATATCCCAGTGATAGGGAGTACACGATGGGGGACAAGATCACTGCCAAAGGGAGGTGGTACAAGTGCCAGAGAAAGGAGAGATCCAGCCTCTCTGAGGATCAGGATCATGAGGCACAACAGATGGATGGGGAGGGGGGAGGTGGTGGTGGGGAGTCAAGAAGACTATAGAGGCACTCCAGAAATGATGTGTTTGTTGAGGGGCCTGAAGCTGCCTGGTTCAAAGAGAAATTGGACCAGAGAAATCGAAGCTTCTAGCAGCCCACTTCCTGCCCCAGAGCCAGTAGTCGTCAAGCATTAAAAATAAGAGGAGGCAATCTCCATATCTGCCAGGCCATAAGAGAAGGGGAAATTTGAGGGGGCAGGAATCTTTTGATAAGACTAGGGCCCTTTGGCTGTGTGGGGGCAGCAGGGGCCTCACCTGGGATGCTGAGTACACTTTATTTTCATCTTGCAGAGTGTAGCCACAGCTTTTCTAACCGGACTCGTTCTCACCCAGTAATAAGTGTGTAAACAAGAATCCCTTCTTTTCACCTAGAGAGAAGGTAGAAAAGAGTCAGGGAAGGACGAGCCCTGGATTTTGGTGAATTTCTTCTCATGAATATTGAACTCACAACTGCAATTTTAAACTTTGAAAAATCCCTTCAAAACTTCTGGGTCTTCTCTGATGTAAGGTTAGCACCGCCTCCCGAAGGCACAGCATGCCTGGGGAGGGCGGGACCATGAAGTATACACTGGTTCCTTCCTTTTTTCATTATAGTCACACCTCCAGCAAGGAGAGATACTTCTATGTGGAACCTCGCCCAGGCTCTGTAGCATATTTTTTAGGGTAGCTTGTAACAGTCGGCCTCGATCCCACTCACCAGCCTGATCCTATGGGAGGGTGGGATAGACATGCAGATTCCCAGGTCTTGTCCAAACCTGCAGAATTCCGGAGGGGAGCGGGGGAGAGAAAGTGTGTTGTGGGGGGAAGAGGGGAACCTGTGCACGAGAAAAATAAATATACAGCAAAATGGGTTTATATGTGGAAGAAGCAATGGGAAGAAAAGGCATGGTATTTCCCCCTGGACTTAAGTCTCCAGCAGAGCTTCTCAGAGTTTCTTTCCTGGTGGAAGTGAGCATCCTCAAAAGCCCTCCTCGGTTGCTCCAAAAAGTAGATGAGGCTGCCCAGCCCTTGCTCCCTCCCGGCAAAGGAAGCCCAGGCCCGGGAAGGAAGTCGCCAACACACCTCACTCCGAACTTGGAAACCTTCTGGCTTTGGGATATCCCAACCCGCATAAGCGTAGAAAAAGCGATTCCCTGTCCTGAAGGGCAACAGTCCACGCCGAGATGTACCGGGGAGGGGGTGGAGGCGGAACCCTCCCCGCCGGCCCCAACTCTCGCCCCCAAAGCGCAGAGGCAGGAAAATATCTGCCAAACTACAACTGCTTGGGCACCGGGTTGGAATTAACCGGGCCCGGGCGTCCGGGGGACAGAGGATCCTCTCTGCTCGTCCGCCCCCAGGAGACCAGACTGGAGACCTCTCCCTCCGAACGTTTCCTGGATCCCCGTTTCCCCAGCGAGGACGCGCCTCTCGAAGGGGCCCCCAGCCCGGGAGATGCCCGCTTCCTTTTGCCGCTAGCCGGAGGCGGGGGGCGGGGGGGGGGGGTGGAGGGAGGCGGAAGGGAGGGGGGGACGCGTCCTGCTGTGCAGAGAAGAAGCAAAGGGAAAGGTGGGGGAAGGGCGGAGTATGAAGACCGAAGCCTCCCCCCGCACATCGCAGGCTCCAAAGGCGTCGACTGGCCCTCCGGAGCCGCGGCCGGGAGGGGAGCAGGGGCCGGGCGCCGCCCGCCGCCCGCCGCCCGCCGCCCGCCGCCCGCGGGAAGAGAGCAATGGGAGTGGGTGCCAGGCAGCCCGAACCCCTGGGGAAGCGAGGACCTGGTCGGCCCGGGACGGCGGCGGGACAGCGGAGCAGCAGGGCCCGGTGGCCCGCGGTCAGAGCCCTGCCCCTGCCCCTGCCCCTGCCCCCGCCCCGCAGGGACTCCCATCGCTGCCCTCCAGGGGCACGCGGGAGCCGCAGCCACGGCTGCTCCGGAAATCCGTCTGCTCCCCCTCCTCGCCCTCAGCCAGCTCTGGCAAGTGGCAAAGAAAGGGAAGGGGTCATTTCTTCAACCTGATCCCAGGCCCCGACCCCGCGCTGCAGACAGGGTCCCCTTTGCTGCCAGCCCCTGGGAGCCCCCGTAGTACAGACAGGGAAACTGGGGCCCAGGGGTGACAGAGGTACCCCCAGACAGCTAAGAGCTAAGAGGTGGAGAGCAGGCCGACAACACCGTGGGCAGGGGCCGGGGGTGAAGGGGAACTGGGGAGGTTGGGGGGGGGGGGGGCAGGGGTAGATCAGTCCAGGGCTCGTGAGCTCTTACTCTGCCCAGGATGAGGGCTTGGGCAGCGGGTTGGAACAGACCTTTCCCAGAGGAAGCCTGCCCGTTCGCTGGGGTTTCCCCTGGGTGGTCCCCAGATAATAATACCTCTCCTTTGTTGAAGGCTTTACGGGCATAAACTCACTGAATTCCCACAACAGACCTCGAAGGCAGGTGAGATCACCCCTGCTTTACAGGTGAGGAAACAGCCGCCCTGTGACTGAAATGAGT